CTTAAAATACTAACTACAGTGTAAATGTTACAAAATAGTTGTTACACTATATTATTTTTTAATTTGTATTTTTATTAGTTTTTTAAAAATATTTTTGATTCATGGTTGGTTGAATCCACAGGTGCGAAACATATGGATACCATGATCAGCTGTATTATATCTGTTTTGTACTACTATTTCTTCCTTGCTTATGTCCAATAATATAACTACTTAGGGATAAAACCTAGGTTTGAAAAGGCAAAGATGCATTTACATACATTGTCCATGTATTATATAGCTTGTTTCACCAATAGCAAATTTCATTTGAGCATTTGGTACACAGCATATAGCTTTAACTAACCTAGTGGGTATTTTGGTTCACTATTGTTAATGGTTTGTCTGTAATTTCACTTTCCATTTCAAAGTTAAATTTTCTCAGATATTTATCCAAGATTTACTGTAAGTATCAACATGTTTTGTTTGTGCTTTTGAGTTGCTGCTTTAATTCAGTGTTTTTTTCTAATTAATATCCCATTTATTAAACATTATCAACTCAAAGACATTGTTTTTCTTAAGCTTTTAATTTTAATTTACAAGTTTTATTCTATTTATTAAAATAGCAAAGTCTAACAATTACCTCAAGAACTCAAGTCAAATATTTCATTAATCTTTGATCAAGTCAATTTGTTTGGTTTCTTTTATAAACTTAAGATCTCTTAGATATTTTTACTACATTTATATATTTAATTAAACTGTCCTTTTAAATGAATTTTTGAATGTTACTACAAGCAAAATATTTTGAAGCACTTAAATATTTAACTGAATTCAATATACCGACCTTAAAATACAGTTAATTCTAAGGTCTCTTTAAAAAGCAACACTATAAACTTAGTAAAATATCTTATGCATTTCGAATTAAGAATCATAAATCAGGAGAGATCCAAGATGGCTGATCACTAGCAGCTCGAGATTGTAGCTCCCAGTGAAAGCGCAAAGAACGAGAGGACGCCACACCTTCATATGAATTCTTGTTGCTCACGCACCAGGAGATTCCCAGCGGAGGAGCCCCACAGGTCGCCAGAGCGACTCTTGTGACCTGCGAGGCGGTTTGGCCAGTGCCTCGGAGCGTCGGTTCTTGGTGCAGAATCAGAAAAGCACCATAAATCTTAAGGCCGCTGATTTAGTCGGTGCAGTGGGTTTCTCAGATTTCGGCGCTGAGAATCAATAAGTTGGACGTCCACTCAGAAACCCAATTAAAAAGACGGTAAATACAAAGACCACAGATGGATAAATCTACAACAAAGGGAAGAAAACGGCCAAAAAAGGCTGAGAATACCCAAGATCAGAACGCCTCTCCCTCAGCAGGGGATCACAGTTCCTCATCAGCAATGGAACAAGGCTTGATGGAGAGCGAGTGTGTTCCAATTACAGAAGCAGGCTTCAAAATGTGGATAATGAGAAACTTCTGTGAATTAAAAGAACTTGTTTTAACCCAATCCAAAGAAACCAAGAACTTTGAAAAAAGATTTGACGAAATGTTAACAAGAATACACAATTTAGAGAGGAATATAAGTGAATTGATGGAGCTGAAAAACACAATACAAGAACTTCGTGAAGTATGCACAAGTTTTAACAGCCGAATTGATCAAGCAGAAGAAAGGATATCAGCAGTCAAAGACCAACTCAATGAAATAAAACAAGAAGACAGGATTAGAGAAAAAGGGATAAAAAGGAACGAGCAAAGTCTCCAAGAAATATGGGACTATGTGAAAAGACCTAATCTACACTTGATAGGTATACCTGAATGTGACGAAGAGAATGAATCCAAGATGAAAATATGCTTCAGGACATTATTCAGGAAAACTTTCTCAATCTAGTAAGGCAGGATAATATTCAACTCCAGGTAATTCAGAGAACACCACAGAGATATTCCTCAAGAAGAGCAACTCCAAGGCACATAATCGTCAGATTCACCAGGGTTGAAATGAAGGAGAAAATACTAAGGGCAGCCAGGGAGAAAGGTCAGGTTACCCACAAAGGGAAGCCTATTAGACTTACAGCAGATCTCTCAGCAGAAACCCTACAAGCCAGAAGAGAGTGCGGACCAATATTCAACATCCTTAAAGAAAAGAACTTTCAACCAAGAATTTCACATCCAGCCAAACTAAGCTTCACAAGTGAAGGAAAAATAAAGTTTTTTTGTGAATAAGCAAGCACTCAGAGATTTCATCACCACCAGGCCTGCTTTACAAGAGCTTCTGAAAGAACCGCTACACATAGAAAGGAACAAACAGTATCAGCCTTTCTAAAAAAATACCAAAAAGAGCATCAATATAATGAAGAATTTACATAAACTAATGGGCAAAATAGCCAGCTAATATTAAATGGCAGTATTAAACTCACATATATTATTATTATAATTATATTATTATTAATTCTAAATTTAAATTTAAATCCCCTAATCCAAAGACAGGCAATTTGAATAAAAAACTAAAACCCATCAGTATGCTACATCCAGACCCATCTCACATTCAAGGATACACAAAGACTCAAAACAAGGGATGGAGAAGGATTTACCAACCAACCAGAGAGCTAAAATAAATAAACAAAAAGCAGAAGTTACAATTAAGCAACAAATATCAAAAGAAGCAAAGAAGGACATTATATAATGATAAAAGGATCAATGCAACAACAAGAAGAGCTAAAGATCCTAAATATATACACACCCAATACAGGAATACCCAGACATACAAGACTTATAAAGAGACTTAGACTCCCACATAATAATAGTGGGAGACTTCAACATTAATATTAGACAGATCAATGAGACAGAAAATTAACAACGATATCCAGGACTTGAACTCAGATCTGGAACAAGTAAATGTAATTAACATTTATAGAACTCTCCACTTTAAATACACAAAATATACACTCTTATCAGTACCACATCATATGAACTTAGAAGTTTAAACGAAATGTTGGTTGGCTCCTTGTTTGTTATTCTCTTCCCTCATTTTCTTTCATGTCTCCATTATTAAGGACAATTACAGGCATACCCATATTTAGACTGCATTCTAGCCCAGGCAATAAAGCAATACCCCCATCCTCTCTCCCTCTTTCTCTTTCTTCCTCTTCTTCATTCTTTTTCTTATTAAAAAAATAATAATAAATAAATAAATAAAGAATCATAAATCAAATAAGTTATTAAGCTACATATTTTAACTTGGAACCACAAGGATGTTTGCTTATAATACATCCAATTCTCTTTAAATCCAAATGTGCACCTATTATAGTTAAATGAATAAAAAATATTACTATTACAGGTTCAAGTCATTATCTCTAAGATTAATCGATGTTTCCCTTTTTTTAAAAAACAAATTTTGCTTACTAAAGAAAGCAAGTTAAAGTTTATCATCTCAAATGAATTGTGGCAGCTATCTTGGCATACTTCGATTTCTTATTAGCCAGAGGCTTTGGCCAGGCTGACTCTCCATAAGCCACTAATAGGTAAAACTTTCTATAGAGTCACTCTGCCACTAGGGAATACAAGCCCATGCCCTCCAAATAGGTCAGTTTTATGGCCCCCAGAATTCAAGTTACACATTTTCTATTTCTTCAAACTGATTTAAGCCTGCAACATCCTCACTGAGACAATTTGAGTGCTTTACTAAATTTAACCAATTCAGTTACTGCCTGGTTCAACTCAAACACCTTTCATAGTCTTGCTTAGATTTCCACGACAAATCTTATAGATATTTAAATGATGTTTGATTTAATTCTGTGTATTCCTCTGTCTGACTCTCCAGGCCTCAGACAACACCACAGTAATGACAGGAAGGGGATGCATACATTTGGTCTCTAGTATTAGTTAGCTAGAACTCACTTTGAACATAGATATGCCTTCTAACTGTTTTTACATTTCAAAATCATTTTTATCCTATATTCACACTGTTAAACCTGATATTATTGTTGTTAAACTTGAAGACTAAATTTTATTCTTTTAAAAAATCATTTGGCTTTTGATTATAAAATAAATATAATATAATTTTCTCCAGGAGGCACAGCTCCAAAGCATGATCTGTGCCAATGTTCTCCTGACCAAACTCATGCAAAACTATCTTACCTCAAAGCTGACACATACTTTTAAACCTGCCTCTGTAAAGTCTTTATAGGGTGCTATGATTTGAATGTCCCCTTTAAAACTCCTATTGAACTTTAATTGCCATTGCAATGGCATTAGGAAGTGGGATCTTTAGGAGGTCATTAGGGCATGAGGGTAAAGGCCTCAATGGATTTATGCTACTATTGTGGGAGTGAGGTAGTTATTGCAGAATTTCTGTCTCCCTTTTCTCTCTGTCTTATGCCTATTTTAGCCCTCCCCTGCCCTTCCTCTCCATGTGATGCTTTCCACCATGTTATGACACAGCAAGAAAGCCCTCACCAGATGCTGTCCCTTGATCTTGGACTTTCCACCCTCCAGAACTATGAGCCAAATAAACTTCTATTATTTGTAAATTACCCAGTCTGTGGTACTCTGCCACAGCAACCAAAAACAGAATAAGACACGGGGTAACTTTTAATTTTGGAATAATTTCATACTTCCAGGAAAGTTGTAATAATAATATAAAGAGTGTCCATGTACAACATCTCAAATATTCCTCTCATATTATCATTTTATCACACTTGCTTTGTCATTCTCATAAAGATATACAATTTGTTTCCTGAAACAAATTCCTCCCTACCTACCTCTCCTATTTGTTTCACCAAATTAGAAAATATAGTCCCAGATAGCAACTTTCAGACAGGATATTTCTTTAGCTTTACATAATGTAGTTTGTAGTTTCTAAAAACCATGATATTCTCTTCAATAATCACAGTACAATTACCAAAATCAGAAAATTAATACTAATATATCATTACCATTACCAACATCAAAACTATTATCCAAGTTGTAGACAAATTATATATGCAAATTTTACCAGTTGTCCTACTAATACGTTTTACATTGTCCAGGGATAAATTTAGGCTTTAGACCTTCAAGGTAGAAGTCTTCAGGGAATCATTTTGAAGATGGGGAAGCAGGAACTATAGTGAAAGGATTTCTATTTAACTATCATGTATCCCACACATCTGGAAGTAGAAAAAGCAAGGGAAAATTATAAGAAACAGTATATGGAGATTTAACTTGGGTACTACTGAATATCTCAGTCAAACACTTAGCTCTATGTGTGTAGATACATTTCCCAGTGTATATACATATTTATTTTCTCCCCAAAAGCCATTTCACTATACAGAGATAATAGAAAGAAAGAAACATGCAGTTGGCTCTTGAATGACAGAGAGATTAGGGTCACTGACCCCCTGTGCAGTCAAAAATGTGTATATAATTTTTGACTCACTCAAAACTTAACTACTAATAGATTACTGTTGACTGGAAGACTTACTGATAACATAAACAGTTGATTAACACGTATTTTGTATGTTTTTACAATAAAATAAAATAGGGAAAACTAAACATTATTAAGAAAATCCTAAGGAAGAGAAAATACATTTGCAGTGCTGAACTGTATTTATCAATACTGTAAGTGTATGTCATCTGTTTACAAGATGAATTGCCTATCTGAAATGGTAGGCAACTACATCTGATGTCCTCAATCTATGACACCTATCAAGCAACTCAGCTTTTGCTTGTAATGTCGTAACTTTTCTCTGCTTCTTGGGAGCACTTCCAGCATCACTAGTCATACTTCATGTGAGTCCCATGGTGTTATTCAAGGTGTACTGTATTGTACTAAACATGATGAAAATTAAACAAGAAACTCAAGAGATCACTTTTTACTGTGATGCACACTTTACTGGAGAGACAAACTGTTTACAAGAGATGATTAGCATCAGGTAGCATTTTAAGTGGATATTTGTAACACTTGAGCTCACCAGAATAGCAACAAGAGGTGGCTATAAAATCATTACAGTAGTATAATATGTACTACAGTTAGTTTTATGAAGTTATGATTTAATTCTACATCTTATTTGTTTGCATTTCAACTACAAATGGCACCATATAGAGTCTGTGTGTATGTAAGTTTTGATAAATGTTAACTTTTATAATAGATTTGTGTATATTTTGTGGTAGTAAATAATAAAATAGACTACTACTATCTACATACATTTTATACATTTATGACATACTTTCTCTTGATTTTTCTTCTATATCTCTATGCCATGCAGTTTGTGTTTTTTAATTGTCAAATCTTCAAAAAAAATCCACATATAGGTGGACCTGTAAAGTTCAAACCTGTGTTGCTTAAGAGTCAACTGTATATATTGCAATTTTAGGTTAAAAGATATATTTTATTTTTATACATCATTTATATGTAATAACAACTTAAGAAATAAGCCTATGTCCTCCAAGAGATTTACAGTACTTATTGGTTGTCCAGACCTGAGTTCAACCCAGTCAATGTTCTATGTGACTCACCTTCAGAAATCTGATGTACTGCAGACTTGTTGCCCAGGCTGAAATTCCTGCCTTCCTGCCAAGATAGAAGAGAAGTGGCAAATAGAATACATTTCTCTTCTTCCCCAGAGCCATAACTCTTCCTAGACCATGGAGACAAATTTCATATCCTCTATTCAAAGATGCGAAAAATTCTAGAGTTACCCCTACATATTCAAGAATCAAGAAGAACGGGAAAGCCAAGATAACCCACAGACTCTTGGAAGGAAGCACATTGCTCCTACAGGCCCTCTGGAGGCAGCTGAAAAACTGTGAGTTCCCAATATATGAAAGAGGGATTGTCTGCCCCCAAACACACACTCTCACTGGGAAACCTGAAGTGACTGATCATGGGAGAAGGATTTAACCTTACCTGGAGCTGAGACAAATTTAGAGAGCTGAGTGAAATATAGGGGTGGAAGAAGCAGTGGGAAGAGCCCTGTGGGCTATCAGTCCCCAGGGAAGTCATTTCTGACTTTGTCTCACAGAAGTCCTTGGGGAGGGCTGCCAGGGGAACGGGGGAAAGACCACACAGAGAAGGAAAATTCCAGCTAAACTTTGCAATAATTTTGACCAAAAGCAAAGTTTCCCTAACAGAAATTAGGGGAGGGGATGAATCAGGACTGCAGACACAGCACAGTAGCCATGGCAGGTGGGAAGAGGTGAAACCTAAAAGCCCTTCTTGCTTTCTCAGCTGGGAGGCTGGTATTCTGGGGCAGTTTCTTAGCCCTGCTCACCCACTGCCTGGAACTAAACTTGGTGCCGTTGAGGGAGCAAAGTGAAAGTGAAACCAGCCTTTTGGGCTGCATGAGGCCTATAATTGCCAGCTTTTACCCACTTCCCTGGTGACTTGCATGACACAGCAGAGGCAGCCAGAATCCCCCTGGGAGCATAACTCCACTGGTCTGAGAACTACACCCCCGACCCCTGCCACCATCAAGGAGAGTCTGAACTTAGATATGCCTAACCCTACCCCCACTTCATGGTCTTTCTCTACCTGCCCTGATAGCCCAAGAAAAAGAACAGAACCTCTTGGGAGCTCTAGGGCCCCACCTACCACCGGATACTCACTATACTACCTCAGCTGATGCTGTCTTGAAAATGCCACCTCCTGACTGGAGGCCATCCAACACAAAACTAGTGCAATAAACAAAACTACAACTAAGGACCCTCACAGAGTCTGTTTCACTCCTCTGCCACTTCCACCAGAGCAGGTGCTGATATCTACAGCTGAGAGACCTAAAGATGGTTCACATCATATGACTCTGTGTAGACAATCCCAGTACCAGCCCAGAGCCTGGTAACTCTGCTAGTGGCTAGATCCAGAAATAACAATCATTCCAGTTTGGCTCTCAGGAAGCCACATCACCAGGGAAAGGTGGAGAGCACTACATCAAAGAAGCACCCCATGGGACAGAAGAATCTGAACAGCATCCCTTGAGCTCCAAATCTTTCCTCTGACATAGTCTACCCAAATGAGAAAGAACCAGAGAAGGCTGGGCGCGGTGGCTTAAGCCTGTAATCCCAGCACTTTGGGAGGCCAAGGCGGGTGGATCATGAGGTCAAAAGATCGAGACCATCCTGGTCAACATGGTGAAACCCCGTCTCTACTAAAAATACAAAAAATTAGCTGGGCATGGTGGCACGTGCCTGTAATCCCAGCTACTCAGGAGGCTGAGGCAGGAGAATTGCCTGAACCCAGGAGGTGAAGGTTACCGTGAGCCAAGATCGCGCCATTGCACTCCAGCCTGGGTAACAAGAGCGAAACTCCGTCTCAAAAAAAAAAAAAAAGAAAGAAAGAAAGAAAGAACCAGAGAAACAATTCTAGCCATATGACAAAACAAGGTCCTTTGGTACCCCCAAAAGATCACACTAGCTTGCCAGCAATGGATCCAAAAGAAGGTGAAATCCCTAAATTGCCAGAAAAAGAATTCAGAAGGTCAATTATTAAGCTAATCAAGGAGGCATCAGAGAAAGGTGAAGTCTAACTTAATGAAATTAAAACAGTAATACAGGATAAGATGGGAAAAATCTTCACTGTAATAGATAGCATAAATAAAAAACAGTCACAAATTCTGGAGGTGAAGGACATACTTAGAGAAATGCAAAATGCACTGGGAAGTCTCCCTAATAGAATCAAACAAGCAGAAGAAAGACCATCAGAGCTCAAAGACTCAAAGACAAGGTTTTCAATTAACCCAATCCAACAAAGACAAAAAAAAAAAAAAAAAGAATTTAGAAAATGAACAAGGCCTCCAAGAAGTTTGGGATTATGTTAAATGACCAAACCTAAGAATACTGGGTGTTCCTGAGGAAAAAGAGAAATCTAAAAGTTTGGAAAACGTATTTGAGGGAATAATCAAGGAAAACTTCTCTGGTCTTGTTAAAGATCTAGACATCTTTAACAAGTACAAGAAGCTCAAAGAACACCTGGGAAATTTATCACAAAAAGATCATCACCTAGGGATAGTGATCAGGTTATCTAAAGTCTAGACAAAGGAAAGAATCTTAACAGCCATGAGTTAAAAGCACTAACTAGATAACCTGTAAAGGAAAACCTACCAGATTAACAACAGATTCCTCAGCAGAAATCCTACAAGCTAGAAGGGATTGGGGCCCTTCTTCAGCTTCCTAAACAAAACAGTTATCAGCTGCATACAAGAATTTTGTATGCAGCAAAACTAAGCTTCATTAATGAAGAAAATATAGCATTTTTCAGATAAACAAATGCTGAGAGAATTCACCACTACCAAGCCAAAACTATAAGAACTGCTAAAAGGAGTTTCAAATATTGAAACAAGTTCTCAAAATACACAAAGATAGAACCTCCTTAAAGCATAAATCTCACAGAACCTATAAAAAACCCAATTTAAAAAAAAAAAAAAAGGTATTCAGGCAACAAATAGCATGATGAATAGAATAGTACCTCCCATCTCAATACTAATGTTGAATATAAATGTCCTAAATGTTTCACTTAAAAGATATAGAATGGCAGAATGGATAAGAATACACCAACTAAATATCTGCTGTCTTCAAGAGATTCACCTAACACATAAGGACTCACATAAACTTAAGGTAAAGGGATGGAAAAAGATATTCCATGCAAATGGACACCAAAAGCAAGCAGGAGTAGCTATTCTACAGAAAAAAAAAAAACAAACAAACTTTAAGACAACAGTAGTTTAAAAAGACAAAGGCAGATGTTATATAATAATAAAAAGATGTGTCCAACAGGAAAATATCATAATCCTAAATATATATGTATCTAACACTGGAGCTCCCAAATTAATAAAACAAATGCTAGTAGACCTAGGAAATGAGATAAGACAGCAGTACAATAATAGTGGGACTTCAATATTCCTCTGACAGCACTAGACAGGTCATCAAGACAGAAAGTAAACAAAGAAACAATGGATTTAAAATATACCCTACAAAAAAATGTACTTAACAGGTATTTACAGAACATTCTACCCAGCAACTACAGAATATACATTCTATTTATCAGCACATGGAACATTCTCCAAGATAAACCACATGATAGGCCACAAAACAAGTCTCAACAAATTTAAGAAAATTGAAATTATATCAAGTACTCACTCAGACCACAGTGGAATAAAATTGGAAATCAACTCCAAAAGGAACCCTCAGAACCATGCCAATATGTGGAAATTAAACAACCTGCTCCTAAATGATTGTTGGGTCAACAATGATATCAAGGTCGAAATTTTAAAATTCTTTGAATTGAATGATAATAGTGACACAACCTATCAAAACCTCTGGGATATAGCAAAGTTGGTGCTAAGAGGAAAGTTCATAGCATTAGACGCCTCCATCAAAACTGTCTGAAAGAGCACAGACAGACAACCTAAGTTCACACCACAAGGAACTAGAGAAACAAGAACAAACCATACCCAAGCCCAGCAGAAGAAAATAAATAACAAAGGTCAGAGCAGGACTAAATAAAATTGAACAAACAAAAAATACAAAAGGTAAATGAAACAAAAATCTGGTTATTTGAAAAGTTGAATAAAATTGATAGACCATTAGCAAGATTCACCAAAATAAAAAGAGAGAAGATCCAAATAAGCTTAATTAGAAACAAAATGGGAGATTTTACAATTGATTCCACAGAAACACAAAAGATTATTCAAGGCTCCTATGAATACCTTTATGTGCATAAGTTAGAAAACCTAGAGAGGATGGATAAATTCCTGGAAATATACGACTCTCCTAGATTAAATCAGGAAGAAATAGATGCTCTGAACAGACCAATAACAAGAAGTGAGATTGAAATGGTAATTTAAAAATTGCCAATAAAAAAAAAGTCCAGGACTAGACAGATTTACAGATAAATTTCTATCAAACATTCAAAAAATAATTGGTACCAATCCTATTGACACTATTCCACAAGATAAAGAAAGAGGGAATCCTCCCTAAATCATTCTATGAAGCCAGTATCACCCTAATACCGAAACCAGGAAAGGATATAATTATAAAAGAAAACTACAGGCCATATCCTTGATGAATATAGATACAAATTTTTTTTAAATACTAGGTAAGAGAATCCAGCAGCATATCAATAAGATAATTCACCATGATCAAGTAGGTTTCATACCAGAGATGCAGGGATGTTATAACATCTGCAAGTCAATAAATGTGATATACTACATAAACAGAATTTAAAACAAAAATCACATGATTATCTCAATAGACACAGAAAAATCATTTGACAAAATCCAGCATCAGTTTCTGATTAAAACCCTCAGCAAAATTGACTTAGAAAAGATCTACCTTAATGTAATAAAAGCCATCTATGACAAACCCACAGCCAACGCAGTACTAAATTGGAAAAAATTAAAAGCATTCCCCCTGAGAACTGGAACAAAACAAGGATGCCCACTCTCACGACCTCTATTCAACATAGTACTGGAAGTCCTACTTGGAGCAATCAAAAAAGAGAAAGAAATAAAGGACATCCAAATTGATAAAGAGGAACTTAAACTGTCACTGTTTGCTGGTGATATGATCATATATGTAGAAAACGCTAAAGACTCCTTCAAAAAGCACCTAGATCTGATTTTTAAAAAGTCAGCAAAATTTTAGGATACAAAATTAATGTACACAAATCAGTGGCTATGCTATACAGCAACAGTGGCCAAACTGAGACTCAAATCAAGATCTCAACTCCTTTTACAATAGCTGCAAAAAATAAAATAAAATACCTAACCAAGGAGGTAAAACAACTCTACAAAGAAAACTACAAAAACTGCTGGAAGAAATCATAGATGACACAAACAAATGAAAACACATCCCACGCTCATGGATGGGTAGTATCAATAAAGTGAAAATGACCATACTGCCAAAAGCAATCTACAAATTTAATGCAATTTCCATCAAAATACTACCATTATTCTTCACAGAACCAGAAAAATCAATCCTAAAATTCATATGGAACCAAAAAAGAGCCTGCAGAGCCAAAGCAAGACTAAACAAAAAGAACAAATCTGGAGGCATCACATTATTCAACATTAAGCTAAAAACCTTCAGTACAGCAAAGGATACAATTGACAGAATGAACAGACAACTGACAGAGTAGAAGAAAAATTTTGCAATCTATACATCTAACAAAGGACTAACAACAACAATCTACAAGGAACTCAAACAAATCAGCAAGAAAAAAACAAACAATCCCATCAAAAAGTGGGCTAAGGACATGAATAGACAATTATCAAAAGAAGATAAACAAATGGTCACCAAACATATCAAAAGAAATGCTCATCAGTAATTATCAGAGAAATGCAAATCAAAACCACAATGTGATACCACCTTACTCCTGCAAGAATGGCCATAATCAAAAAAAAGAAAA